ATAACTTGTATTTATAAGTGTATGGATCTCTCTGTACTTGTAGCGCAAGGTTCCATATAACAAAGGAAAGGCTGGGATTGAGTTTGGGGGTAATTGCTAAAAACGTTTTGGAATTAGGGGCAAAAAAAGTGGCCTTAAACAAGCATTTTTCTAGTTTCCAGACAATAACTTGTGTTTAAGTGTATGGCTCTCTCTGAAATTTTACTACAAGGTTCCATGTCACAAAGGAAAAGCTTGGATTGAGTATGGGGGTAATTGCCATAAATATTTCGGAATTAGGGGCCAAAAAAGGGGCCAAAAACAAGCATTTGTTCTAGTTTCCAGACAATAACTTGTGTGTTTTGTGCAATAGCACAGTATTGCGCAATAGTAAGAAATCTTCAATTGCACAATATTGCGCAATAACAAGAAATCTTCAATTGCACAGTATTGTCACAATATTGCACAATAGCAAGAAATTTTCAATTGCACAGTATTGCGCAATAGCAAGAATCATCTAATTGTACAGTATAGTGCAATAGCAAGAAATCTTCAATTCCACATTATTGCGCAATAAGCAAAAAATATCAGATTACAAAGTATTGCGCAATAGCAAGAAATCTTTAATTGAAAATTAATAAAAATATTTTGACCAATTTCAAATTTTTAAGATCTTTCACCACATTTGTTTTGTGTCAGAAACCTATATTATGTCAAAAATTTGATCACAATCCAAATTCAGACAGTATCAAGCTTCAATATTGTGTCCAAAAATGCACCAACTATTCTGTGGTCGTATCAGGCTGCGCTCGGCGAAGCATTTTATTGAAAGTTGTGCACGAGTTAAAAACGATTTTTCAAACTGGTCCGCATCACATTAAATCTCCGGCAAATGAAAATATCTATTATATTTACATGGCACTTAAGGGACTCCATAAATGTTTGACAAGTTCTTCATAATTGTAATTTATTTGGTGATCAATCTCTGCATCACCTTGTCCTGCAAAATAAATCAATGTTCTTTCAAGTTAGCGTTGATGAAAAGGGATACAACTGCAATCACAAGTTTCTATTCTTTGCAAATACATTTTATTCAGAGGTTTTTAAAAGCTAATTCATCGGATATTAGGGAGATCACATGTATAGAAAAGAATGTATGATATTGGAACAAATTGGACCTAACAATATTTGTATTCAAAACCGTCCCTGATGAAAAAATAAAAATTTGATTCTATATACTAATACAATAGATAAAACATTAATGCAGTTTAAGTTTAAGGTATAATCCTTCCATGGATATATATATCAGTTATAAAATGAGAGTAGATTCAGTTCAATGACAGATTTGTTTTTGTGTCAGATGAACTCAAATAAGGATTGATTGTTGGTTGCTTAACGTCCAGTGGCAAATATTCCATGCATGTTCAGGACGAGAACAAGTTAACAATAAATACAATAGGTAGGTCCTGTAATAGAGGCCGTCCGGGATGAAGGTCGGGGAAATTTGGACTGCCACGGAAAAATGAGGGTATATTGGATAAGGACAGAAATTTAGCCTTGCAACAGGCCACCTACGGACCCCTCAAAGAGTTGTTGCAAGGGTTCTTAACGTGCAAAGAACGTGGCACTCTCTTTACACGAGGCATCGGATTTAACGTCCCCATTCTGACCGGACGTGACTGCGAACTTGTACATCCCGCACAGCCCGCACAGCCAAACGGACGCCCCACTTTAGCGAGGGTTTTACCGCCGGTCGGAGGAAGACCAATGGTGACCATATTTCTATTCCCCAGTCACCCTTGGGGTGCTCAAATAAGGAGTTGTGGTATAATTGCCAATAGTACAAATATACACAAAATACCAAAAATGATGTAGATCTTATCTACTATTAGTCTTCATACAACCTTCACCATTGAGCAAACCCCATACTATATATCAAGCTATAAACAATGATAAAAGCCAACAGCATGAACAAATGTTTAAAACAAATAAATGAGAAAACCCATGCCTGATTTAGGCTTAAACTATTCACTAAGAAATAATTATGGCAGACAGCAACCAATAAAAATAAAATTGAGAATGGAAATGGGGAATATGTCAAAGAGACAACAACCCGACCAAATGACTACCACTAAATCACAGGCTCCCGACTTGAGACATGCACTTAACGAATGTGTGAGGCGAGGGGGGTAATTTTTTTACACATGCTTAACCCTACTAGTCTTGAACAATAGTGTAAAATTTCGCAACAAAACGGGTTCAGCAAATTCCAGCAAATACCATGCAAATTGACTGATTGAGTCAACAGATTTTGAATTAAAGATGCTTGACCATAGTTGAAATAAAGCAAATAAATAACATTTAGGTTATTTTAATAGGATGCTGTGGGTGCTTTGTTTAGAAAAGGAAGTAAGATCAATAATAAGAGTGAATTCTAATGAGATCAACTCTGAAAGTTATCATCTGTTTAACATATAAAAAATCTCATTTGTTTATGTGGAAAGGTAGGAATGAATGAACTGAATATTTAAAAAAAAAATCAAAATCATTTATAAAATTTAGGACTTACTATCACATTTGAGGGACATAACCAGGGTTTGTGAAATACAAGAGGGTTCAAAATTGTGAATTTTTTGTGCCCATAATGGTCAAAATTTCAGACATTTTTGACGAATTTTTGAAAGAAAAAAAAAGGTATGCCCTCTGTGCCCCACCCCCCCCCCCCCCTCTTTTCAAACCCTGAACCCGCCTTTATTAGTCCCAAATACTTAATAATTGGCATATTCCATCTATAAACAATTATATCATGAAACAAAACAGTATAATAGTGTAAAAAGATAAGCAGCAGGATAACACCAGGTCATCTCAGTCTACAGACCATTTCTGGCAGACTTCAGAAAAACTTAGAAAAAGTGAAAAAAAGGCATTTTTGAAACCGTCAGCAAAAAAATACTCTTTAAAGTCTACCCAATTTTATTTTTTTTTATTAAGAATATAGATATTTAATATTAGGAATACAATATACATCATTTCACTGTTAGTCCCGATTTCTGTTTAAAATATAATACAAATTGGGTCTTATTCCTTAATGTTTTCAATTCAAATGCCTTTGCATTTTCCCGTTGCCATAGCAACATATTACAAAAACATCATCACTGATAAAAATGTTTTATATGATTGGCAATGGTTACCTCACTTTGTACTTGTAACAACAAACACATTCCTAGTCACACTTTTGCTCTAGTTGACCTGCAAATGTGTCGATATTTGTCTAATTTTGGTACGCTCTTTGGATTCGTAACTAAGGAAACATTTTCCTTAGATACAAGATGTAAGGACGTGATTGAAAATAGTTTTTTTTTGTCTTAAACATGTTTTTTATGATATAACAAATCAATTAAGAGCATTCTAAACTGAATCTTAATTTTTGCACATTCAAGGTTTGTACAGTACGAAGGTCAATGCTTATTGGCACGGCCTCTTAAGGTTTGGATCTACTGCTATAAGTTTGATATATTGTATTGAAATGAGATATGCCAATGGTTATACAACTGCATGTCAAATATCATTGACCTACCATAGTGGTTCCCCATTAACTGACCTAATCACAACCTAATACATGTAAACTAAGCAAAAGCTTCAAAGTCAATAGACTATGACTGAGAGGGCAGGGCCAAATAATCTCCATGGAAATTACATGTGCAAATGCTTATACAACTGCATACCAAATATGATTGACCTACAACTTATGGTTCCTCACAAACTAGACCTAATCACAAACTAATACATTGTTGCCACCGACGCCGGAAATAGCATACCTGTGTCATGCTTTTTGACGCCGTCAAGCGAGACAAAAATCAAAACGATTTTCTGACATCAGACAGAATTCTTTCTGAGTTTTACTGTGTGCATTGCTGCGAGCTTGTTTATGCTACATTGGCTAGAGGTATTGGGGAAGGGTTGAGATCTCATTAAACATGTTTGACACCTTTCCCAAGTTAGGAGCCCCGGCCTTTGTTAGTCTTGTATGTTTTTTTTTAAATTTAAGTCCTTAATATGTTTCTGAGTTTAGTGTGACGTTTATTTTCACTGAACTAGTATACATCATTGTTTAGAGACCAGCTGAAGCCCTCCTTCTGGGTGCTGGATTTTGTCTTTGTGTTAAAGACAAATTGGTGACTTTAGGCTGTTTTCAGCTCTATGGCTAGGTTGTAGTCCCCTTGACACATTTCCTATTTCCATTCTCAATTGTATGAATGAATTACACAAGTTCGACAAGATTTTCTTTTCTATGGCAACATAAATATGTAATTTTATGATCTAATTTCACAAATTTAACAAAAATGTACTTTTCAAGTCATATTTCCTTTGATGAAGCTGACTGTCTGATATCCTCATGGGTAGTCAAGGTCGTTAATCACCTCTGCAGTATTTTAAGTGTAAAGCTTCAAATATATTTTTATAACAACAACTGATCTTTAAAGACAAACTTAAAAACTTTTAAGTAAGCTTAAACTTATTTTTATGCCCCCACTGTAGTGGAGGGAGCATTAAGTTTTACTCTTATCCTTCTTGGATGTTGGTGGTGTCTCTTTTACTGTTCTAGAGTTATACCTGTTTACAAATGGAAACATTTTTCTTATCTGTTCTCTAACTTATACCGTTCTTCAGGCCACACTTGAAAAAATTTTGGTTTGCCAAAACCCTACCCAGATGTAAAGATAGTGGGAAGGTAGGCATTTTCTTTTTTTTCTGCAAAGAGAAATTGAATTGTGTCATATATTCTTAATTTTCATGCCTATCTGATAATAAAACCTTTCCCATCAGGACAATAAAAGATTTTGAGTAGGCAGCTATTTTCTGGGTAGGTAGGGTTAGTGCAAACAAACATATTCTTTTTTATGGCCTCAGTTATGTCCCTTTATAACTTAATATGATATGCAAGTGGGTGCATCATCTGTGTCCTATGGACACATTCCCCATTTATTTATCACAACTGATATTTAAAGACAAACTAATAATGTTTCTATAGTCTCTTTATTACACAGGCATATATCACAATTGTTGAAATTGTACAGAAAAAAAAATTGCAATTAATTCATTGTGGTAAATCTGTTATCTTGATTCTCTTCTAATGGAAATCATATACACTACAACCCAAATGGATCATGTCATTTCTACCTAACACAGTGGAGTAAACACAAAGAGGGGAATCATCCAAAAAAGTCCTTTGACCCTTGTGTAAAGATTTGGAATGCTATCATTTTGTCTTCATCATAGGAATTTACACTAATATAAGAACAAAATTGTGTTTTGAATGAAATATTTTTTAAGGAAATCTATGGCTAAATTGACCTGTTAGAAGTGGACTGTCCACAGTGGCCAGGTGAAAAAGACATTATCCACCGGAGTCGTAGTGTATGTTACATGTAACATATAACTTATTGATATCTTATCAATTCATCTTTTTAAGATTTTGTTTACAAAACTGGATGCAATGACATTCTGATTGCTGTGTAATAGCATGCAGAATTATTTGTTATTCACCAACAAACTCCAGAGGGTACTCAAAGAAAATTTACATCATTTTTTACATGGCTTATTTTTGCAAATCTTCACAAGCACAACATATTAACAAACAGTACCATTATGAAAAATAAACTGCTGTTGAAGGGTTATAATAATCCTCTGCAAAGAGCAGTCTCAGATTGTCCCTTCTACTTAAGAAGACAGTATTTATTTATAAGAATGAAAAGACCATTCTTATGTGTATGATTTCCATAGAAAAAAATTACACAAAAACATCATACCACAATTTTTGTTTACATAATTGACAACAAACAAACAAAAAGATATTTATGTTCTTAATGCAAGATGAAAATAACAAACAGCAAATGTAATTAAATGTATACAACAAATGTAGATAATTTGGTTACTTCAAATACTTCACAAATAAACACTTCCTATTAAGTTTATAAAACAAAAGAAGGGACAACACATTTGAGAATTTGAAAACCCATATTTACTTTTTTTCCTGTGCAATTTAAAGTATCTTAATTCAATGGAAAAATTATCTACAAGGTAACAGATCAATCTACTTAAACATCTTGCATTAATCACTAAAAAAACTTTTTTATTCCTCACTTTACACACGTCATCCAAGCAACCATTTTCTTATCATTTACACTTTGTTCAAAATGGACAAAAACAATAATATATTAATTCTAAAAGGTTTCTCTTTACCTGTACAGCAGAAGTTGTCAGATTTTGTTATAATGACAAGTTACCACCCATGTATGTAGTCTGGATCATCCAAATGCTTTATTTGTGGTAAAGACAAAAATTCTATAAAGTGCAAAAAAGGGCTTATAATTTAACAAGGCAATTCTTGTTTTACTAAAATAAGAATCAATATTAATAACTGTTGAAAACAGAATAAATGCATTTAAAGATGAATTCAAAATTTTATTCAAGATCTATTTTATCCATTTACAGAAATTAAATAGCTTATTGCTATAGGAAAACTGGACAAGAAAACAATAACACCCTTCAAGCACTTGAAAGATCCTGATTAGTTTGCTGTGTGTTTTACTAAGGGACACAACTCTTGCTGTACAAAAAAGTTAAAGATTATGTACACGTGTCATACACAATTTCTTTTTACATGTTTACATTGATAAATTGTTTTCATTTTCAACAAATCAGACAGGAATTTTCATTAGTACATTTTTCTTTACTATAAATATGGTTATTTTGTGGAGCATTCTGCAATTATGACATTTTTCTGGAGTATAATACACACCAATTGTGTAAAGATTTTAAAAGAAGTGCCTTGGTTGTGTACATTATTTCCATTTGCCCTCTAAACGAAAAAAAAGTTAAAAAAGAACCACTAACAATCATCTAAACGTTTTACAAATATTGTAAATCAGTCATTTAAAGAAGAAAAAGATCTACACATGAAATTCAAATTTTAGTGTATAAGGTAAATTAAACAGAAGTAAATAACAATAGAAATTTGTGATTTTCTTCAGAAATAAAGTACAATCGATAACCAGTGGCTGTAATAAATACTAAATAAAAATGCTCTACCACCTACTTGCACATTGGAGTGTATTTAATGTTGGCTGAACTACATTGGCCCCATCCTACCCTTCCCATTTATCTCTATAAAATCACACGATACGACTTTACAAAGACAAGATGGCCAATTATTCCCACGACCATTAAATCTGTAACAATGGATGTAGGTTTATCAATTATGATTCTTGACCTGGACTATAGCTATAAGTTTATGCTAAGAATAAGAAATAAAAATGATTTTGGCATTTCATTTATATTTTTCACAAATTTTGTACTACTCCTGTAAAGGTTCTTTCATAAACAAAAAGATTTAAGCAATTTGTATTTCAATGCAAAATTATCTTGTCTGCAGTTCTATTTCTTCTCTTATTAAAGACTCAAAGTATATAATTTGCATGTTTTGACCTAACTTTTTCATAAAAGTTTGAACTCAGTGTAACAAATAAGATTTTAGAAATTAAAATTCTGACAGCTTTTTATAATTTCAATTTGTTAATGTACAGGGGAATTAATGGATAATATTTATAAATATGAGGAAATTTACATTCATTTTTCACTAAATAAATCAATCACTAATTATTTTATAGTTGAAGCGTTTATTGTCTGGTCATCGAACACTTTAGGCAGATATACAAACTGCTTCTTACCACCTGTGTAAATTTGACAAAGATCAATCTTTATCAGATTCTGACATTTCTGCTCTGTCACATAGACCATTTTAATTAAATGTTATGTTGAAGTAAATGCATGTAATCTGTAGCCATATAATCTTGATCTTGATATAGTACAGTGACACGTCCAATATAATCTTGATCTTGATATTTTACGGTAGACATATCAAATGGCGATTATTTCACCATGCAATTTTAACCAATCAAAAGAAATAAAATTTAATTTGTAACATTTGAAACTGTTGTCTTTCTGTTTATATAAATAACATGCATACACAGACAGTTTCTGAGGCTGAATGCAGGACATGTAGACATACAGAATTGAATCATGGGATAGCAAAACATCTTGCCACTATTATTTTAGATAGTGTTTAAACAAAAACAATGAACCTTTAAAATGTATACAGATATAAAATGTAACATATAAATAAATGAATTATTCCCAGATAGGAAATTCACTCAAGATCCAGATAAAACCAGTATTTATAATCCAGATGGTTCTAGAATGATCCAGTAATTCCTAAAATGTCTAGCTTTGCCCACTCCATTTTGGTGTCCACATTTAGGTCTATGCTCGAAAAATAAAAATGAGTGAACTTTAACATGTACGAATCACATTTTCTAAAAACAACCAATCATTGTTCTTGTTACTTGCAGCATCCGCCGCCTTCTTCTGACCGATCATGTGTTCCATTTAAGTTTATATTTCCACCAACTCGCTGTTGACCTGCTCCACCGGCCTCGTTTTTAGGTAATTTCTTTGCTACAATAAAAAAAATGATCGTCTTTTTAAATTTTTAACAGAAATTGAAATCAAGATTTGTAATCAACATGATAATTAATATTGCTCTATTACCAATAAAAAATATGCTTCAAAAATCCTTAAAAGATCAAAAGGTCAGCTGCTTAATTTGAACTGTTGACACAGAGATATGTCTTGCATTTTGTAATTTTTATAGTATATTATTAATGCAAATGATGAAATTAAAATGGCAATATTTAAACATGTAAACTATGCAAATCATTCAAAGTCAATGAACCATGACTGAAAGTGCAGAGCCAAATACCCTCAATGGAAATGAGAAATGCCAGTGCTTATAAAACTGCATACCAAATACCATTAATTTACCATAAGTGGTTCCTTTTAAACTAACCTAAACACAAAATTTAATTTGTAAACTATGTAAAAGTTTCAAAGTCAACAAACCATGATGAGGGGGTTGGACCACATAATCTCCATAGAAATAAGACTTACAAATACCAATACATCTGCATACCAAATACCATTGACTTAACATTAGGGGTTCATCTTAAACTGATCTAATCACAAACTTTAACATGTAAACAAAGTCAATAGACCATCACTGTGGAGGCGGGGCCAAATAATCGCAATGGCAATGAGATATGCAAATACCAATTCATCTGCATACCAAATATCATTGATTTAACATTAGGGGTTAATCTTAAATTAATCTAATCACAAACTTTTCTAAACTAAGCAAAAGTTTCAAAGTCACTAGACCATGACTGTGGAGGCGGGGCCAAATAATCGCAACGGAAATGAGATATGCCAGTGCTTATACAACTGCATACCAAATATCACTGACCTACCACTAAGTCTTAGTTTTTACTCCTAAATTCAGTGGTTTTTTTCTGAAAAGCAGCAAATACCAAGTTTAATGACTTTGGATCAATAAACCTTTTGAACTGAAGATCAACGAATGTTTATAGATTGTTGGCATCACTTGTCTGAGAATAAGATGTAATAGAAAATGCTTTTATTGGATTTACTGAGTATCGACCATTTATAAACCCTACAGCTTCTTCTTACCTATTGCCAAAAATATATCATTTACATTCATGGCTGTCTTAGCTGATGTTTCCATAAATAATAAACTGTTTTCTTCAGCATACGCTTGTGCTTCCTAAAAAACAAAAATACTATTAACAAAAAACAATTCTCTTACATGAAACCAGTGTTTCACACAATATCTTAAGATATGAACTGCCACATATTAAGAGCTTGACATATTTCATAGACGCTTATCTATTGTTGAAGACTTTGTTGCCCTCTAGATGCCATTAAGTATTTTTTGTTGTTGGATTGCTGTCTCATTGATGTTTACCCAATTAATTAGAAATGAACTGGATGTATACTTGCTATTATTATTTATAGAACTTATTAAAGAATTCAAATAAAGAAAAAATATTCAAGGAGTGACTGAACAACACATTAATTCACAAATGCACGTATCAGTGTTGGTCGATCACAAGTTGAACATGTTTCGATATTTTAATTCTTGTATTACTTGTTTTTTCTATTTAGGTTGCAGAAAACACACACATACATATTTGGGCCTTGTTCACAACAGAAATTGAAAAGGCAGAAGTTTTTTTAATTCCATCTATTGCATGAATAATAATAGACAGTTATTTAAAAAATACAAATAATAACTTATAGAAAAATTATGTGTAAACAAGACACTTTCTTACAACTGATAATGTGGATATATCCCTTATAAAATTGATAACCATGCAAAAGTGGGCTTTTTATTGTACTGTGCTGCTCTGCCCTCAGATTCTCAATGATTACGGCATTTTCACAGATAAATATTTTATACAAACTATAAAAGTGATTTCAGTGGAATTAAAGAGGAGGGTACTCACATCGAATTCTACCATTCTTTTGTTGGCCAGATCTGACTTGTTCCCTGCTAAAGCAATAACAATATTGGGACTAGCTTGTCTCTGTAACTCTTTCACCCATGTCTTGGCCCGACCAAATGTGTCCTTAAAAAAGAAATAGTACATGATTTTTTAACTATGATTATTTTTTTTTTTTACTAGTAGTCCAAGACTGTAGAGGGACCTCTGGAGGTTTGTGAAGAAATGTTGCCATGAGGGTGCTAACAATGCAATTTTCAATAAAATAATATTTCAAAGGGAATATTTCCTCTTACAACTATTTATTTGATTGATTTTCTAACTTGTCCAAGAAATTACTATCATAAACCGTTGGCATAAATTTCATAAATATCTTACAACTTAATACAAGAAATGTAGACTTGAGGGCACAAACAATGCAATTTTCCTTAGAATTTACATTTCCAAAACACATTACTCCTGCAAAAATCTTTAATCAGCACTGATTTTCTATGTTCCCCAACACTGTTGATTGCAGATTTATTAAAAAAAAATTTTTAAATGTCTACCAAACCAGTTTTCGCCAATGGGTCCAATAGTCTGAATACCCATTCATACCCTCTTGTACAAATGTTGTACCGTCTTTTGGTATGTATAGTGCGCACATTTATACCCTGGGTCATGTTTCTTGTAAGAGGGGTGCGCGTTATACATGCCTACAGACATTTTCTTAGTCTTTTTTCAGGTCCAAACTCCAACAAAGAAATTTCCAGGAGAAGTGAAGAGTACGGAATATTTTTGCTAAAACCTTGATTGTTTTTATGTTTTATATGTTATATTTGTAATATGTATCTTATTGTTCTTGATTTGCCATGTTTTATTCAAATAAAAAACATTTTATATCTCTGTAGTTACGTTTATCGTGTAAATTTGTCCATCTGTTTGCAATCTGGAAATTTGCCATGTCTTAATAAAGACACAATAAAGCTTTTGTTGTCGGTTAAATTAGCCTCTGTGTTCCTTGTTGTCATAACTTACTGTTTTTGTATGTGTTCATCATGGAGAGTAGAAGAAAAGTGTATGAAAATTGAATAAACCACGCTCGTTTTGAAAAGATAAACCACCATTTTTTTCTTATGTATCAGGTGATCGCCAGTCATGTGGGTCAGTCATGTGACTTGATATTGTAAAGTGATGATTTAGTCTATGAGAAGTTTATTTTTATAAATACGTTTCTACTTTGTAACTTTTAAACCACGCACTGTTTAAAACCGTTCATGAAATTATGATTGAAAACATGATGATCCCATAATTGTAACCTGAACGGATTTAATTAGGAACAAGGTGAACCTGTCACTGATTTGTATCGACATGCAAAGATGCCAACCCCTTTGAGTGCAATCAGTAAAAAGACATTAAAATTTCCGTAATTAGTGTCTTTTTTCAGTAATATTTACGTAACATTTCATAATCAACAGTGCACACAGTGATATGATTGATTGGTTATTGGTTGCTTAACGTCCAATGGCAAATATTTCATGCATGTTCAGGAAAAGAACACTTTACTAACAAAAACAAAAGGTAGGTCCTTTAATTAATAGAGGTCGCCGGGGATGAGAGTCGGGAAAATTTACATTGCCACTGGAAAATGAGGGTGTATGGGATATGGGACAGAAATTTAGCATTGCAACAGGCCACCTACGGATCTCAAAAAGAGTTGTTTCAACGGTTCTTAAGATACAGAGTGTGTAGCACTCTTTCTTCAAGAGGAATATGAATTAACGTCCCCATTCCGACCAGACATGGCTGCGTACTTGTACATCCACCACAGCAAAACGGACGCCACACTTTGGCAAGAGTATTACTGCCTAATGGAAGAGAACCTGTAGTGACCATATTTCTATTCCTCAGTCACACTTTTGGATGACTCTCAGTGACAAAATGGTTTCCTTTATTTAACAGAACTACGATTCAAAGTTGATGATCAAATGAGGAATACTGACCGTCGCATCAAATGAGGAATACTGACCATCGCGTCAAATGAAAATCTTTTTCATAATTATATGCAAAAGGCATAATGGTCCGGATTTCTAGTTTTCTTTCTATGTATTGAAATTTAAATTGTTCCATCAGACATTGCAAAATTGAAAACAATGACTGGTTTCGTTCATTAATTATTCAAAATTAAACAAGAAATATATAGGTCGTTTTGTACTGGTAATCCCGATTGGTTGTCGATTGCTAAACGTCCAGTGGCAAATATTTCATGCATGTTCAGGACGAGAAGAAGTTAACAATAAATTATATAGGTAGGTCTTACAAGAGAGGCCGCCCGGGATGAAGGTCAGGGAAAATTTGTACCATGGGAAAATGAGGGTATATTGGATATGGACAGAAATTAAGCATTGCAACAGGACACATACGGACCCCTCAAGGAGTTGTTGCAAGGGTTCTTAACGTGTTAAGAGCGTGGCACTCTCTACACGAGGCATCAGATTTAACGTCCTCATTCTGACTGGACGTGGCTGCTTACTAGATAAATCCCGCACAGCAAAACGGACGCCCCACTTTTGTGAGGGTTCTACTGACGATCGGATGAAGACCAGTGCCGACCATATATCTATTCCCCAGTCACCCTTAGGGATAGTCCCAAGAAGCTCAAAGGAAAATAACAGTCCAAACCATTCGAGCTAAATGTTACATGATTCTAATCAAAAATCATTTATAAACGGAGAACTATTCTGGACAGGTAATGAACGTAAATCCGTAACAAATAGACTGTTAATCGTAACACCGTAATTTTGGTCCAAAATTCGTAACAATTACGGGAAAACAGTAATGGTTGGCATCTATGGACATGTGTAAAAATTTTATATCAATCAGTTTAAAAGTTCTTATATCCACTCAATGTACACTTATATAAGGTCATGCATACTGAATCTGCAATTATGACCTTTTTCAAAGAATAGTAATTTCATAAAGTATGAAGAACAGATGTCAAACAAAATGCAAATGTCTATTTATTACTTCTTGTTTCACTTGAGATTTCAAGTGTTAGGAACCTACTTCAACCAGTTTAAAGAAGTTATTTGAAGTTTCCTGTGAATTATAATTAACATTATATACTTGATTAGTGATGTCATAAACAACAATGGCGGCCTGTGCGCCTCTGTAGTACATTGGTGCCAAACTGTGATATCTCTCCTGCCCAGCTGTGTCCCAGATTTCGAACTTTACTGTGGTGTCATCTAAACAGACTGTCTGTGTTAAAAATGCAGCTGAAAAGAAAAGAACAATAAAATATAAAAGTTGAATCCAAAAAGTCAAACACTGTAGGCTATCATTAGATCACTGACAATTGTTTGCCATTCTCACAGAATAGAGTTTACACATGTATGGTGACAGAAGAATGTGTAATATAAGTGTGTTTTAATCTATATTATTTACTTCATGTCAAAATGCCAGATTTTGATTGGTTAATACGAGGGAGACAATTTACTCTATCCTATGGTAAATACTCTATTACCCTTCACGGAGACGCTTGATCAAGTGTGCGCTTTATTAAATACGGATGGTTGTTATGTACGTCATAGTTTACTACTTTGAATTTGAAATTTAATAGACAGTAATAACAGAGCATTCAGTATAATAAATTAAATAACACATATCTGAGAGGGTGATAGATCAGATTGTTACCCCTCAAAAAGACATTGTCAACCTTGGCTTCGCCTCAGTTGACAATGTTTTCTCGGGGTAACAATCTGCTCTATCACACTCTCAGCTATGTGTTATTTATATAATGACAAAAATTCGCTTTCAGAACAGCATATTCATTTAATCTGTCAATGTACAAAGTGACAATACATAAAATGTTTTTTACCAATTCTGTCGCATATTTAAATAAAAAATTCAGGTAGGTTTGTTAAATGTTTATGATTAAGAAATCTTACTTATCATTTATACATTGGTGTGTATATCAAAATCTTGGGTTCAATTTAAATGCCCAGAGTTCTCAAAAATCAGTGGTCCAAAGGTTTTGACCAACAAAATTTTGCAAAGGACGACACTATTTTCGTATTTAGCAACAGAAATGATAGCCAGGACAAGCAGATTTTCTTAAAGGGCCACCAGGGGAAAAAAGTTTTTGAGAACTCTGCTCTGTCAGACAGCTGGAAGTGACAAAATCTAAGTCTTTAACTGCAGTGTACATCAAAATACACACGGTGCTACCTACCTCCAATTGTACTTTCCTGGTATTCATGGAATTGTCCTTTTACAAATCGTAGAACCAAGCTAGACTTGCCTACGGCAGATTCTCCTAGAAGTACTAGTTTAAACTGACATATTTTGCCTTGTGCTTGCCCATTTGGTCTTTGGGCACCAGAACGGCTTGCCATACTATGGCTGTTCCCTCTGTATGTCTTGTAATCGTTGTAAGTAACACCTGAAGAAAATTATAAAACAATGAACAAAATTTCAATGACAGTTAATTCAAAAGGTCTTAAACTTGTACTGGATATTTGGTCAGACAAATATTTAGCCTTAATGGATTTTCATGGATGCAATTTTAGAATCAAAACTTTCTGATTTTACTCTTTACTTTAGATTGGTCCAGTCACAAAATATTTTCACTGGACAAAACAAAATATTGCAATTTGTACAACTAACAATGACTAAAGGCTCTCAAAGAGCCTGTATTGCTCACCCGAGATTGTTTGCATAACATTGATACAATGTAGCAAATATAATTTGTGTTGAATTGAAACGCTGTGAGTGTGGGCCAAAACCTTCTCTTGCTTATATTTTTTTTTCAGTATTTACATTTGTTGTTGGTAAAACTTGGTAAACATGGTAAAGAGAAAGGACAATTGCTCTAATGTTGAAATTACTAATATTTTATTATACATATACTGATTTCACTACAGCTACATTTTGTATTTTTGTGGCCTGGAAGACAGGTGTTGACACATGTTGATCTATGTCTCACATCTCACTGTGGATCATTTTATTGTATCCTTCACAAAGGTCACCAATTCCATTCTCATGTGTTTACTAATAACAGACTAGTCTTCACACTTAACCACAAGCCCAACAGCCCAGGCTTGTAAAATTGCTTTGGGGCCTGTAAATATCTTCTCTAAAGGCCAACTATTTGTCGTAAAATTGAGTGTGTTGGGCCTGTGGATTCAAAACGTTATCATGAAGACTGTATTAACAGAGTACAATGTTTTGAAAATATCAGTTGATTTTTGTGGTCCAAACTTTCACAGCCACAGGCAATAAACAATCAATGAATAAGGCAAGGATCTTGATTTTTTTATACAAAATTCGGTCTTTCTGTAAAATGACTTGAAAGTTGGGATCCTTTCTTTGAACTGTCAAATTCATAAGTTAAAAGTCACAGCATAAACAAACTTGTAACGATGGATATTTATAGTTAGTTTATATGCTGTGCTGTAACATCACTGACCCAGGTTACATAGTAAGGGAGCTGCCATTTGATTTTTATGGGGTGGGGGGGGGGGGTAGGATGAAAAATTTTGTCCTGCCTTTTTTTTTGGTTGTAATCTCTGTCCTGCATTTTTATTTTTCACTCTATTCGGGCCTGCCTTCTTTTTTAGTTTATCTTGACTTTTTTTTACATAAATTGTCATCCTGCCTTTTTTTTTTTACTCAGAACTCCTGTCCTGCCTATTTTTTTCAAATTTCATCCTAGCCCCCCCCCCCATAAAAATCAAATAGTAGCTGCCTAATTGAGTGGTTGCTGTTTTTTGCTCTTTATCACATTTGTTTTTGTTTATTGTTTGGTACAGTAGTTTGTTCTTGTGTTGTACCTCTGGCCCAGGCTGAGTTTGGCGCATGTTTATAATTAATCAGCCAAATTCTATATGTGCCAGTCCCAAGTCAGGAGCCTGTAATGCAGTGGTTGTCCTTTGTTGCTGTATATCATATTTGTTTTGTTCATAAATCAGACATACATGTATTGGCTTTCTCTTTTGTATTGTTTTATATTTTGTCATTTCAGGGCCTTTTATCAGTCAGGGGAATAACTGTAATAAGTGATTTATAAATCACTCATTTATTTTAAGTAGCAAATTAGAAATTCTGTGATTTTGTAGATTTACCAAAATTTAAAACATACAGGGTTAGATTATATTTAATTATTAGTAAAATTGAATAAAATGAACCTTTTGATTCTTTTAAGCAGTAAGGTTTATGCCTTTGATGCAATTACTCATCTGTAAATTCCATATTTGTTTAAAAAATGCTATATAAATGAAGGCTTTACATAATGAACTAATACTTTCTTAACAGATTTTCCCCAGCAGTGGGAGTATTTTTCCTGTAAAATTCAAGGTTTCAGATTATGCTGACTTGACTGGTCATCCTATAAACACAGATGTTGAATTGGTTCTGATAATTTTAGCAACATAATTAGTCCCTGGGTCAATATATTAAAAGCTACAATAAAATTAAATCACTAAGACTAGTGATTTATTTGTACTACTTAAATAGGTAATTATTAAAGAAAGACGACTCTTACTTCCAACATTTCTGGACAAAATGATACTTGAATCAATGATTTAAGAAATCACTCATATAAGTAATTCCCCATACTGTTTATAGCTTGCTATACAGTACGAGTTTTTTCTTCATGTTAAATGCCATACAGACCCCTATAGTTGCTCACATTTATGACATTTGGTCTCCAGTGGATACAGGACTGTAGGAATGCCCTTTACCGTCAGGCGTCAAACAGTCATTTTCGGCTACTGTTAGCGTCATATTGGTTAAAACCTTTATTGTGATTTGTCAAAATATCCTTATCATGACTCATTGGAGTTCATACCACATCTCCTTATTTTAAATACAGTCAGAACTCTTTGTTGACAAACAGTAGACACAAAATTCTTAAAAATCAGCAAGCACTTCAAAGTTCTTACTGTAAATGACTGTCATGACTGTGACCATAGGTAGATCCAGAGGTCCCCCTTTTGTGGGAAAAATTTGGTTGATTATATAGGGAATCAGCGCGCCCCCCCCTTTATGAAAAGTTCTGGATCCTCCACTGGTGACATAATAATATAAGAATTGTGACATTGGAAATGTACATATTTGAAAAGTCGACCTTAGATTAGTGACTCTTAACCTATTGATGTCATATTATGATAGTCACTTTTGCATATTCAAATTAATTGTGAAAATTTAAGGGGAATGTTTATGATTCACTGTAAATGTGGAGATGGACATACGATATTAACAACATCATGACAAATTTCATCAGTAGAAAAATGTTGTTAATATTCCAAAATTACTCATGCTTATCAGACAACATTGCAGCGAAAGAACAACTGGGATATGGGTCAGAACTATTGCGATTCATGTCAAATGACAATTTGATAAGCATCAACTATTTTCACTGTTAGGATGATAATTGTTCTTTCAAACTGGACAATTTACTGCAAAGATTTTGTCTCTACAGTTGTGATGCTACATAAATAAAATTGCTTGTTGCCGTTGCCAGCAACTGTGTTAACCGCAGTTAATGTCATGTCTATGTATAGTTAATCATTTTGAACAGTCTCGGGTGTAAGCTTGATATATTTTGGAGGCTAAAACACATGATCAAAAAATGTAAACACGGAAGACAGGTTATTTTTGGCACTGACATTTATCGATTTTGCATTAGATAATGTCATGATTTGTGGGCTTCTGCTGTTAACTGTGGACCATCTTTGACATTTTCTTACCAAATATAAAATAAATCAGCTATAAGGGCTTTGACTGTCAATGTACAGATGGCGAAAATGTCTAATTAATTCACGTAATGCCCCCTTTCTACGTAGATACACCCTCCTTTGAGATGTAGCCGAATCACTTCTTTCCGGATAATGGTCCGAATAAACTGGAATCGTTTTCAAGATAATAAAAAATGATATAAAATGTTTAAAGTCGATTCATATTTTTGATTTCTAAAATTCTCTCATTACTTAAATAACAGAGTTTTGTTTCTAACCATCGTGATATCACTGCATTAAAGGTTTCATTTTGCGTAGTGATATCATCATATGACGGACACCTTGATTTATCAAATTTAAACCCCACATTTATGACATCATACAGGAAATCGTGTTTTCTTCTGCTATATTTTACCTAGCTGCATTGTTTCTGTTTCAAATTTAAAACACGAGGCTCACCAAGTGCTTTATATATAAACCATTCACCTTAAATTTTGATATATTGCTAAATATTGCATTTTATAGCCTAAACGTGTTTACTGTAACGTGAGGTTTCCCAAATTGCACATATTTTAACATTTTTTTCACTGACATTTATTTATGAAATAGACACTTTAAGAACTGGTTCTTCCATTCTGTGTTTTTTTGTAGAGGTATTCTTATTTTCAAAACAGTTCCACAAATTCAATTTTGAATCCATACAAAATCATAGAACAATGGATTTGACTTTTTTTTTAACTGAATAAACGCGTATTTACACTTTTGGTATTTAGCTATATTTTGCCTCCGAATGACCTTAGATCTAATCCGAATCACCTTTTGACGTCAGGCAACAATCACTTTTTAATTGTGACGTCAAATTTTTGAATTATGATGTCAATGTTTACGGGAACCTGTGTGATTTTACGTAATGGCGGACAAATTTGCATACAAGTGTAAATACGTCTATAATGTAAAGTGACCGTTTTGATCCATTTTGTGTATTTAAATATATTTATCTATATCGAAAGACATGCATAATTTCAAATTATAGAAATTCGAATCCCTTAATGAAGAAAATTATGCGTTTTATCACATTTTTCCACTTATTTTACAAATACAGAAAATATTTTGTTTGATTCATAATCATTTCCCCCCAACTTTGCCATATAAGGGTAGATAGTCCAGCTAATGTAACTTTTATAAAGGAATGTGTTATGAACTAACTTAATACTATTTTGTTTTGTAGCAAGACAACGAGTCCCGTGACCCAAATTTTTCTATTTATTTTCTTAAACATGTTAAAGTACCGTGATAATTAGAGCATTCTTCTCATATTTTATCTTAAATTATATCGTTGTTTTTTTTCTATCGCACAAAATTGGGTTTTCCATGTATAACTTCTACATCAAATCTGACAATTTTGCACAACCTGTAGCTTAATTGAAAAAAAGTCCCGTGACCCATACTTTTCATTATATGTTCGAACATGTTGAAAAAGACATGATATAAACTACATTTTGTATCAATGGATCTTATTTTAGACCCCCCCCCCCCCCTTACCGTAAGAGTCGGATTAGATTTCCTCTGCCGCTTTTTTGCAAAATTGATGCAAATTATACTCGGTGCAATTTGGGTACTATATATCTACCAACATCAATATCGTCGGCCAACACATGCAATTGAGGGATTCAGAGCTGGCTTGATCTTCAGGCGTGCTCTGATAGGTACTAGGCACCACCAAGATGTACCTCATAGTTTTATTCGTAAAATATTGCCAAGGGTTTTTAATTAAGATAGCCAAGAGAGAACTTTCTGAGTTTCCCGACACTGTGTAAAGTTTTCGCGCGGAACCATGTATATTCAAATTTTGAATCCGGTTCCTTTCATGGAAGAGAATGATATATGGTGATATAGCTAAAAGAAAGTTGAAATTGAAAAAATCTGGCATTTTAAGACCATTTTTTAAATGGATTAACGTACAAAAAGAGTGCAACTCTCCCTACACACCGTTATCCATGCCAGATATGGGGACTGTACTCAGCATGATAGCATCGCGCAATGCATTTGGGTTTCCTTAAAATTTGAAGCTTGCATTCGATTTCTCCTGTTTGAGCGTATTTTAGGTCATGTTGCGTAACATATAGGTTGTCCAAATATTTACTAACAACTAGCACATTGAAAAGAAAAAAATATTTTGCGACTCTAAATGTTTTTTTCATAATTTTACAATTTAAAAAACCTTGTTGTAACTTTGAGGACGGTGATTCATGAGTGACAATATGACTGTGGTTGTTATTTTGATTTATTCTAAAGTTATCTTTAATAGTCTTATTTCTTTTTATTAATCGTGGAACGCAATTTGGATTTATCAACATGCACCGATTATGCTTTCAAACCTATGATAAACATTTTTTTTTAAAATGATACAGGACAGAAAATGCAATCGCCAAAGTTCGAATTTGATACAACATGGCACATGAAAACGATAAGATTTTTTTAATTTGCTGTCCTCGCATGATGCCGAGCACAGTCACAATATGTGGCATTGACACTGTATGAGTCTGACCGGACAGGTCTTAATTAAATACGTACATCTCGCTTAGCATATTTCTATTAACATCACAGTTCACCGCTGGGGTCATTTATGACGTTCAGTACCTTTTTGATATAAAATTAAATAAATTGACAAAAATACGTTTTCATGCGTTTCAACATCAGTATAGTACTTATTTACATTTTCAAATGTTTAATGCTGAATTTTTCTTTCTTTCTTACTTTTTCTTTCAGTATGTGTGGAGGGGGTGGCTTTGATGGACTACACAATCACACAACAAATTAGTCTATAAAAAACTAATTGAATGTTCAAATGCACTTTAAACCAATACATTTCAATTAAACTGTGTAATCATACAAACACAATAATTCGCGGTATTTGAATTAAGACAGGCCATGATCTCCTGTTTTTTGTACAGTTCAGCGATATTATAATGTTTATGTTACGGATCGATCGCGCCTAACAGGATGAACCAGGATGTCTGCGGTTCTGGATGGGGTTTAAAGAATAGATAATAATTGCCAAAAAGTCCAGACTATATGGCTGAAAAAATAAAGAAAAGAGAAAAATAAGCCGAAATCATAAACACTACAGAACAAAGGGGTGCTGAAATATAAAGAGTAAAGAATAAGGGGCAAAATGAATATTATATATACAGAAAAATTGTCTAGACAATTAAAGAATAAAGAAATAAAGATCCCCCACCAGACCCTCATGTCTGCCTCTTATGAATCAATAAAGGAACATGCATGTGAGAAGAGGAGCACAGTTGGTTCAAATTAGAATGCCGACTGTGTTGAAAAAAGTCCACAAAACGTTACAAATATGTTGTCAATAAAAAGAAAATGAAGCAATATACCAGTTTCACATCTAGAACCTCTTGTTGGAATCAGAGTTTTTTTTACAAAGTAAAATTTGTCCGTTCCCAAAACAAGATATTTGTATCTTCGTTGGTCAATTTTCAAAAACTAACATGGACCAATTCTTGTACTCTTCTTTAAGTTAATGATGAGGAATACGTGTGCAAAGGGTAGAGAAGTTTGGAACCATCCTCACCCTCCAGTCCTCATAATCTGTGCTATGAAATACAACATTTTATCTCAGTCTGTTTATCTTTCTTTTTCTGTTTCCTTGTCAAACTGAGTAAAATCGTAGCATGTTGGACCCGTAGATGTAAAATGTTGGTCTCTTCACACGAACGCAATAATGTGATGAATGACTATGTCAATCATCACTATGAAAAACACGTAACTGTTAATCATCACGTTAAGGAACCACGTGATTGTTAATCATCACGATAAGGAACAACGTGAATGTTAATCATTGCGATTAAGAACAATGTGAGTGTTAATCATCACGATAAGGAACCAGAGACTGTTAATCATTACCATAAGAAATAAGCGTCTGTTAATCGTTACGATAAGAAACAATGTGACTGTTAATCATCACAATAAGGAACCATGTGACTGTTAATCATCAAGATAAGGAACCACGTGACTGTTAGTCATTAAGATAAGAAACAATGTGACTGTTAATCATTACGATACAGAATAATACTTTATTTTCGTTGTCATTATAAATAGCTAACTGTTCGCATTTCATATAATAAGTTCTAAAACGGACATATTATGATTTGGACGTGATGACACTATTTTTGTATTGACGGAAAGGAGGCGACCATTTGATATTCTGAGGATGTATTCATTTTCACCCCTTAGGGTCACACAAATCTGCACGAGAATTTATTTTCACTTTTGTATAAATTTTATTTCCTCCATTTTGTTTTGTAAAATATTTATTTTCATCCTAATTTAGCAAGGTTATTATTTTCGGATCTAACCAGTATTTCATTATATATATAACAAGATTAATATTTAAGGGGACCAGCTGGGAGTTGAATGCTTAAATAATTTGTTTCATCCTACAAAATGTTCTGTGTCGGTTTCAATTCTGAAACTTAGCTCGTGAGTGGTTGCCTTTACTTGGATCTAAATACATTTGTCCTTTAGGGAATTTGTTGTTGAAAGCTAATTTTCAAACTCTCTATTTTCAACATTTAATTGTCATATGTTGACCTCCATATAAAATTGAGAATGGAAATGGGGAATGTGTCAAAGAGACAACAACCCGACCATAGAACAGACAACAGCAGAAGGTCACCAACAGGTCTTCAATGCAGCGAGAAATTCCCGCACCCGTTGGAGGAGGGACTCTTCATTCATTGTGTATACATTATTATTTTTAAGGCCATTTTTTTTCTATACTTTATATTTTTGCTTATTGTTCACATTTCTTTTTGTTAGCACACCATTATTCTCTAATCTTCGTTTTTTTTGCCTTTTATTTCTTTATAATTCTTTTTTTTTTCGGCCCATTATTACATATTCTGTTATACCAATCCATAATCTCAAATATTTCAGTATGTAGATAGAATGTATAGACAGATTTTCATCTGTGAAGAACTACATAAGTTTTGCAGTAATACAGAGCTTTTAAAAAATATTTTTTCGTCGTCTTTGTACGCAGAACAACTACAAATGAAATGAATTTCATCCTCAACAAGATTCTGTGCACATTTTTAACGTTTTACATGCATCATTTTTATGATTTTCGATATACGAATAATACATAAA